TATGTGGCCAAACATATGGAATCACGAGTTGAGTGCTTAGATCAGAATGGAGATGGCCTATCAAGAATGGGAAGTTCCACAAATAACTAATGCAGTAGATGCTTAAAAGCGTTTGATAAAATACATCTAACCTTTGTCTTTTTCAAGGTATGAGTATTTATTTGACTACGCAAAAGCTGATTCTCACATGTTTGTGAATGCTTTTTATTAATCCAATGAAGAACTCTAAATGTATGAACAAACATAAAACTATGTCTAAAAAAAATCATTAAAATCATCCAGGTAAATGGGAGGCACTGAGCATTTGGGTGTGAGGTGAACAATTAACAAAAAAGTTCAAATTCAGTAAAACTCTTAATTCCATCTCAGTGCCATCTGTATTTTGCATAATTCCTCAGTATTTGCTTGAGTCAGACTTTATTCAATGGGATTAGATAATAAGGTCTAGTGTCTTGATGAATCAGAAGTTTTAATTCAAAGATAAATATTTAATGTAATATAACAAGATTCGTAACAAGCACAAGCAAAAGGAAAGCTACTAACTGCAGAAATCAGATTTCAAAGTCAGGAGCAGATTTTCAAGTCCTGCCATGGGCTTCACCCACAGTATCATCATTAAAACCTGTAATAATGTGAGATCATTTAGGAAGTATTTCAGCCTTTAGCATTGTGTACATGTAAAGCATTTATCCTTACAAACAAGCTATTTACAGTCCCACTCCAGACCTTCTTCCTTTGATGGAAACAGTAATCGCTGCAGAATGAAAGATGAGCTACACTGATGGCCAGTTTCTTGTATTCCAGCACTGGTAAAACAAATCATTAAGATTAAAGGACCAGCCATTTCAATAAACTGTACACTGTTGTTATTGTGACATATGGCTTTGTTCTGCCAGAGGGAAGGCATAAAACAGCACAAAAGAGAAATCAATTTTTTTACTCAATGGTTCAGTGTTAACAACAAATATTATATACATATATATAATTCCTATATGTTACATGCATACCTATATATTAATACACAGTGGAACTCTAGTTGTATACACAAAGAGGTAGGTTAGGTCCTGACTTGCAGTTAGGACATGGCCAGACCTTATGCTGGGACACAGTGGAAAGTAAGTGCTCCCTGACTCCCCAGTTTATTCATAGGCTTCTCTGGCTTACAAAACGGTGTTGTTGTTCCATGCTGAGCAGGGGACCATTTTATGATTCAAATGAAAAGTATATGGGGAAGAGCTGCCATGGAGAATAGGACACATTCAAAATTATTATGTAACTTGGAGAGTTTCATGTCTTTTATAAGCTTTTGTCACAGTTCTTTTATTTCAACTGATGAATGAGTTTGCTTTTCCTCATATCTGGGTATTCAACCAGTAAAGATGCATGTCATCTACCTTTTGAAAACAGCATTCCCTTGAAGGGGCCTCCACCAGGCTCCAAAACAAATGGCCAAACCCGTTGTTCAGAGTTGTTGAAGGTTAGAAGCTCCAAGCCAGCACAAAGAGTTAGATGTAACCTCATCTGCCTTAAGTACACTCGCTAACTCATTGTTCAAAACATGTAGAGTGAATATATGCATATTTAGTAGAGATCAACTGATTTTTCAGGATCGTGGCTAAGCTGATATTCCTGGTCACCAGAAATCATTTGATTTGACTTCTGATCCAGAGAACTCAATACAGAAATTACTAAGGTAAAAAATAAATATGAAATGATCCTTTAAACATTAAACAATTCAGTGCCCTGTGACTTTCATAATTTTCACCTGTTTCTCTATGCTAGAAAACGGTGGAGTAGACTTGCACAATTTGAAGGTAAAATTATACCAGTGACATAATTTTTAATATAAAAGAAAGCTTCTGAAAATGTTTAAACAGAAACATGTATTTTTCACTTATTGTTTCATGAGGTCATGTTTAAACATTCATGAGTCATTTATCTCAAAATAAATTCTTCTTCATGGACCTGTCTGATTATTTTACCAAATATTTTCAATAAGTTTTTAATGTGTTTTCCCCTTTCCAGTATTTCTAACTACATGTTAGAACCTAATTTCTTAAAACTAATGTTTCTCCTTCCGTTATGATCCCTTGCTGCTGTTGCTTAGCCACTGATTATATCACCTAGACACTTTATCTTCTCTTTTATGAAAAATGTTGTTATAGCCTGAAACAATTCCACCATATAGATAAAGTATTAAGTATTTTGTGCAGGTGAATAGCTCTTCTATTTCCCATACCATTATCAGATTGGCCAATTCCTATAGGACTGCAGCATTTCTACAGTCAGGGTATAATCAACATCTCTTTCTCATTCTCTGAATATTGCTGATAAAAGAATGAATCTTATTCCTTCACGCTTAGCTAGGCAAAACGGTGCTATTTATTTAACTGTTTCAGGAATCTCTGAACCATACAGATAAACTGGCTTTTGGATGAGCAGGGATGTGAGACAGCACTTAATTTGGAACATTAATTACTTAGATACATTATATTGTGCTCATATGTACAGAAACATAAATTATGAGAAGACTTGGCTTGATCGACAGAAATCACTAGATTATATAAAGAAAAAATATGCATTTTGAGTACTGAGTCTTGAGTATTACTTGCCAATCCAATTCCTCCCAAAATACAAATAAATTGAATGTTTCCAATCAAAGAAGTACTTTAATTAATAACCACAGGCCCCTTTTAATTTTTTTTTTTCAAATTTAAAAAAGCAATCTGTTGGTATATAAGTAGCAAAAGTACTAAAGTACTTAACACTCTACAGCGGTGCTACTGGAATGCAAAAAGCATTACAAACAACAGATTTTACTTCATTCAACTATTCTTTCATTTGATTCAAATATATTAATCCTGAGACCTAGTGAAAACCACTCCATTTTCCTTGGTTTGGATTGAAATCAGCCAGTTCCACCTATCTGAGATATTTGATGGGTACAAACTATAAAACTTCAGGTAAGAGCACTGCCATCTGTGTGGTCTTATATTTTAATCTTCCTAAAGACATACCACGCCATGCAACTGATTGCACTCTGGCTCTAAACAGCTCTTAGGTTAAGCAAGTCCTTCTTTTCACCTCTGGCTGATCTTAATCTGGAACAGAAATCCTGCTCCATTATTTGAAGCACAACTGGACTCACTGGAGTAGTTATGGATCTGTGCCACATTTCAGATTTTTATTGATATTTTTATATTTTTTTAATTGCATATACAAAAGATTTGTTTTGTAGGTCATATGTGCTCATACATCTTAAGGCTGCCACTCAACACTATAAAGTCCAATACAGAACTTGTAGATCATTTTTGTGAAGGTCTGCTCCTCTTAATTTCTTTCCTTCTTTTGAAAAATTTTAAGTTCTCATTTCCAATTTGCTGGATTCAAACTGTGCAAGTATAAAGAAAAGGTCCTTACTCGAAGTTTTGATCAGAAAGCACTGACTATGTTGAATCAACTTGTCCTCCACGGGAATATATTTATAGTGTCACAACTTGAGAACTTGTACAGGTCAAATACATGCCAGAAAGGTGACATTTCCCAAGGGAAAGAACTTCTGACTTTTGTTCAGCCCTAGTCCATAGCTCATACAGCCTTAGTTGTGCTGATTAGCATCAATAGGCATTTTCTGCAGCACAATAGAACAGAATGATGCTGATGATTTCATTTAAAAAATAACTGACTATTATTTTTTTTAACTGATTGAAATATATTGAGAGAAGAATCCTGATTTGGGGTTAATATTTCTGTATAGGAAGGACCGTGCCACTTAACTATTAACTAAAAAATACACCTTAAGTGATAAAATAAAAAATTCTGTGTGAATAAACCAGCCCATTTTATTCCTTTCCTTTTTTTGAAGTATATTAATCTCTGAATTATTGCTAATAATTACTAAATACCTAGATAGTTACTGGGGAATTATCAGCTCACAATAAAATATTAATTTTCTCAGACTTATTGACTAAGTTTGACCATCAAATTCTTACAGAAATTGTATCAGGATAACATTTTCCTTATTATTCTTTGAGAAGACATCTCATTACCATGCAAATGGAAGTGCCTTTGAGCAGACTAATTGGTATATGTGATATGTAAAAGACTGAAGTCACTCCACAATTTATACAGAAAGTATAATTGAAATTTGACTGCAAATACCATTGTTTTCTTGAGATTTGGTATTTACACATAGCAAAGTGGGGGGTGGATATCTATTACATGTGCAAAGATTAGAAAGAATAGTTGTGTAAGATACTATGCCTCACCATCAGAGAAAGAACATTTAAGGAAATGCACTTGGTAATTAGATTAATAATACACAATTAATTTGATAGAAGCAGGCAGCCTATTTGAAAGCAACAGAAGTATATAATGTAATCAAAGCATATTTGGTCCAATTCCCTGCATTTGTTTATTTATTTAAAAGCATGTTTTGTATACACATTATAACTACCTTTTAATATTTATTTTAGAAGAGAGTGTAATAGTCAACAGGCCAGGAGAACACTGAAAAAGACCATGTATTTATTTCTAAGAATAGACATGGTCTGTAAGCAGTTTAGGCAACTTCAAATTCAGTTTCGGACAAAACTTCTCAGGAACACTGTTCTGTAGGATGGGATACAAACAGATCACCAAGTGTATCAGAAAGGATGCTACCAGCATCTGTGACACAGGCTTCAAGTTGATAAACTTGAACACATAGACACAGAAAAATCCACTCCAACATGTGGTTTTAGCATGTGAATACAAACCTGAACCTTAACACACAAATCAGCCAAACTGCCAAGAACTGTGCCTTTCTTTATCATGAAGCTAATCTAAACTCACTGTCACTCTCAAAAGCAGGTTAAGCTAGACTAATCTTTCTGATGTGCAGTCATTCTTCTTAAGTGCCTAAACATGGAGCTTCTGCAGCCAGCCACAAGGCAGTCATTGATTTCACATTGTGAAAACACTTTCTAAAGACAATTCTGTAATCAAATGTGGTTATTTACCTGTCATAGTCTTGGCAAATCTCCCCAACAGCTACCAATGCTTTCAAATACTCATTGGGTTGATAGGGGTGGATGTAGTGCAGTGAGCAGCTGTTCCTAGGATCACCATTTGATGCAGTGAAATCTATAGCTACCTGGAAAAGAAGAAAAGTCAATGTCTTGCAAAGCTCTTCTGAGCACATCCACATCAACCACATATCTTCACCAGAAACAGTTTGCTGTAGAGTCTGCAGCCTTAAAGCAAAGGCCATTTTACAGTGTACTTAATCAAATTTATAGTAGGATAGTACTGATAAATATATTTAGAAGCAAATGACAGTTTATAAAATAAGAGCTAATAAAACTAAAATGGCACAATTAGAAAAAAAATTGCCTGCATTGCTATTCTATGAGGGAAAACATTTTTTAATACAAATGAATCAATTTAACTATCTCTAGATTCTCATACCTAATTAAATTATTCCAGCTAAGGTGATGTTCAGTACATAAAAGCTTTGCAGCAAAAATGTCCCTGGAGAGTTAAGGGTCCTACTAAAACTATAAATTAAAACTAAAATTAGGGGCATTTCTTAGAAGCTTTTTAATCCTTACTGTGGCTGTAGTAGTAGATATTGCCTGTCTGGTATTTTTTTGTCTTCAAAACGTCTAAGCATTAAATAATTAACCCTCCCAATTTCACAGTTGATAGCAAGCTTAAATGTGAGCCACAGTGTAAAAACAAAGCTTGAATCCTTCACAGGTTTTTTTTGTTGTATGAAAAAGCTTAGAGAACATTGTGGGAAGCAGTTAATGCAAAAGCAAATATTAATGAATCCTCTTGAAATTAATTTCTATCTTTTAAAATGCTCTTTATACTTCTCACTGAAGATGTACTCTGGCATGCATTTTCCTGTGATATGACCATCATGGATCAAAAAGTCCTCTGCTGAATTTTTGATACTTTATAGGAATTCCTAAAAGGAGTTGTTTAGGAATTCTTAAACTACAGTGTTTCAAAACACTTTTTACAAAGTTATAACATTTCAAAATTTCCTCGTGATTTTTTCCAATAACCTATTCCTCTAAAAAACCCATTACACCTGAATATTCAATAAACAAAGGCACAGAGTTCAGTTTTCAGTTTTACAGTGTAGCTGAAAGGTAAGAAAGGGTCTTGCTGAAGCTTGCAAAAAGAACTCTCAAGGCCCAGCTTGCCTTTGCAAATGTGCAGCTTCCCCAGCTGCAACCCCTGCTTGGCACAGAGTACACTATTTTATGCAGTTCTAAAATGAAAATGAAATAATATTTTCATGCTGCCTCCAAAAAATTACACAGTCCTCCTGAAACTTATTTTTTGTAGCTAAAAAGTAAAAGGGAAATATCACAATAGGTCAACAAAACATGTTTTTCCTCCACTGTTCCTGATATTCCACCTCTATCTCTGAAGAAACTGGACTCTAGTTAGCTTGGAAATCCCTTTGTTGCCTTGATCAACTATGAACTCCCAGCATCTCACCACATTCAGTCGGGAGAGATGAGCTTTTTGGCTTGCAAATAAAGTAATCCTTCACCACTGCTTCCTACTCACTATTCACTCACTGAGGCACTGAGTTTGTTTTCCATAGAGATTTTTTTCCAAAATTATAGCTTGATTTAACTTGAATAAATCAATGGGAAACCTCTCATGCCTGCACTTGTGAGTGTATATAACTAAGAAACAGTACGTGTACGTATTCGAGCAAGAAAGAGATACTATTGGTTCGTGAAACCTAAGGTTAATCCAGGGATGCTTGTATGGACTAGCTTAGTTTTGGGATACTTATTTGTTAAAAATCTTACTAAAGGCATGCACATTTTCTTAAAAATATGTACATTTTTTCTAATACTAATTCAACATTAAATTTGATTACAGAAGGTGCAAAAATGTCACTGTATGATAGAGAAACAAAGGGTATTCCTGTAAAGTTGTTTAAAGTATGTGTTTTTGCTGATAATCTCAAAAAGCTAAAACACATTAACAAGACTTGAGTGATACAGCAAACAAAACCGGACAAGTCTTCCTTCATGGCTGTCAGCCATGGCTAAATGCTTTGGAAATGAAAACAAGAGCACAGTGTAGGAATCAGGAGTGGGTTTCATGAGCTTGGAAAAAAGCTTGTGGCTAGTGTTTGGGAAAGAAAAAAACACTTCCTAGAACAAGCTTCCTTTTGGAAATGGTCATTGCAGTAGAGGTCTGCTGATAAGTAAAAAAAATTCCTAATTTCCTGTGATGAAGCATTTATGAATGTTTGTACTTGGATGCAGTGTGCTTGAATTTGATCCAATTCTCTGTTTGACTCTCAAGGGGAGGACTTATAAGAAAGATGAATGCTGCTGTAACTTGCCATAGTTCCAAAATAACAATGCAGAGCTCTGCTCTTTTAGCATTACCCAACAGTACCAAGGTCTTGTGTAAATACACAGGATAAGGATTTGTAAAAGTAAGTTAACATATCACAGAAGTTATGTTAATCTTACAACTGAACTTATCTTTTGGGCAGCAAAGTAGGAATCTTTCTTACAGTGCGTACATTTGATTTTTTTCAGTGTATCTTTAATGTATCTGTTCCAATGTATCAGTCATCTTCCACAGCTAAATAAGAGCATAACTGGGGGGGTTTTCCCTCAGCCTTGTAAAAAGGTGATTTTCATTACACTGAAAACATCCCACATAGCTGGGACCTCCTGCTAGATCTGTCAGCAACAAATCAGCCTGCCCAGTACCTTGACCTGCCTGATAGAGCATCTGTCCAATCTATCTTTCTATTACAGTTCCTTTTATGCATGTTACACATCCTTTCTGCTGTATTTCCCAAAGTGATGAAAATGTCTTCTGACTACAGACCCATTTGCACTGCCAGCTTTTGAACATTTCTTCTGCAGCGGGGAATGCTGTCTGATAAGAGATACAACATTTGGCAATAACTAGGGCATAAAAATAGAGGACTGGAATCAGCACTATTGATCTCTACAGATAAAAGCGTCTTAATAACTGGTTTTAAAGCAAACGAAAAGTTTACTTTCCTTTTTCACGAGACATCCTTGCTAACTACAAACCATGTTCCTACAATAGATGCACAAAGTATCTGAAGAACACACAGCGTGATGTTACCAAAGCTTTCATTATTGCCTTAAATTCGGAGGTACATCATACTACAGCTTTTTTTTATCAAATGTGTGCTTAGCATCCCGGTTTCCCTCCCTCAACAAGTGCCCTTTCAAATCACAGTTGTATCATACTGCCTGTACACAGCATGAGCTCAACAGAAATGTCATTAATATTAAGACAATGACAATAACAATACATGTACCAGGAGAGTTTCAAACAATCCCAGATGCATTCTTGTTAAAACAAAAAAATGGAAATCTGGGAAAGTAAAAGGAATAGGCCTCCTCTATTGCAGTGGTCTGAATTAATCAGATTAGGGCTATGTGAAAAGGAGATTATATGATGTGTGCAGAAAGCAAGGGAGCATGGAATATCTCCCCTGTAGGCTGCACCCTTTTGCTTCAGTGACCATGGGAGAGCCTCTGATACATTTCTGGAAACAGCAACAGATCTCATAACCAGTCATTTTTGACTGGTGCAATCATGCTGAGGAGGAAGGAAAATATGCAGAGAGTCAGCTTGTGATGATCTTTAGGTAGAACTACTTGGTTATTATGCCTGTAGAGATCTATAGTCACAGAGATGTCACAATGGCTTCCCCTGAGTCTGTATAAGTTGAAAATTGATAGCGGTGAGTTTACAGAAGACAGTAGCTGGTGGATTTACCATTGAGGGCAACAGTAATTCAGGGATCTCTGTGGTTCACAGTATAATGAATCTTTCATGTTTCCTTTATGCCCTCACAGCCCACCTTTGCAGATGAGTTTACCTAAGCTTCCTATTACCAATTGTTTTGTTTCATTTCAGTAAAATGAAATACAGTAAAATATAGTAGAAGCAATACTATCCACTTTAACCCATTTATGCCACCACTTTTAAACTCGTGGTTCACAGCCTACTAATAGGAAACCTGTGATAAGCAAATAAAAGGCAAGCAAATTGCCACAACCCTCCAGTGCACTGTGTAAGAACTTGCTCTTCCACTGGAAAACATTTAGAAGGAATCAAAAAGAGTTTGAAAAGCACAGCTGTAACTTAATATGTAAATCCCTAGACATTTTCTAATGGTTGAAGTGCTCCTGGCTTGAGCTAGAATTGTAGGAAATGCATATTATATCTTTGCATGTGCCTAAGTACATGTTCTGATTAGAAAAGGCTTTCAAATATTACTTGAAGACATAAATGTCTTTCTGCTAATGACCTTGAACACATTTGATGATTGAGTTCTTCCAGTCATATTTTTAGGGAGGAAATGCCAGGAAAGACAAATTAAAGAGGTTTCCAGGGACTGGCAAGTTTCAGATTTGGAGGAGAAATGTGCATTGCAGGCATGTGGGGATAAAAGAAGAAGTTGCTGGGTAAGGCAGGGAGGTAATTACACAGGATGCTTTACTTGAAAGAAGACAACTAGAAAGATCTTTGAGCACTACAGTAGGTATTTCCTTCAAAACCAGAGACAAGGTCCTCAGTTCTGGGTGTTATCCAATGAGTCTGTGATATGTACAGGCAAAGTGCATGTTTTACACCTCAAAAAGCTGACCTGTAAGCAAGAAGACAATCCACTACAATACCTGCTGCTGTTGCTGGAACTTTCTGTTAGGAAAAAATGAAAAAAAAAAAAAATTTCTTTTTTTTTTTCCAAATCTTTTTGGAAAATGAAGACTTGTCTGGGAAAAGTGAAATAGAACATTTTAGGAGCATCCAATGTCTGATACTTGATATGTGGGAGCAGAAAAAAGGCAGAGTGCTACAGGAAAATGAAAGATCTCCAGAAGAAGAATATAACCTTGCTGCAATAGACTTTAGCCCTGTGGCTGATATGAATTAGAAGTCACATAAACCAGACAGCAACTCAGCCACAATCTGTATTCCTATGCTATGGGAAATACTGATATATTATATTAATTATATTTGTTATATTCAAAATTAAAAAATAATTCAAAAATCAAACCACACAGCATTAAATGTTTCTCAAAATTATTAACTGGAAATGCAAAATATTGTATTTCTGTTTATGAAGAGCTCTGCAAATTATTTTATCCTGTTTCTTGAACTCAACAGCTTCTGATTTGCTCTAAATTACTACTGTGTCCCCCTGTAGTGTCCTCTTACTGTTGGTAGCTATGGCTGAGGTATGAAGCACCAGGATTTACCCCAGGCTGACAGAGAGAGGCCCTTGGCTGGACTGTCTCTCTGCCATGTATGGCATCATGTGAGGGAAAACAATTTGCTTTAATGGAGGACTAATTCTGAAAAGGAAGACTGGCCCTTAACACATTCTGCAAGAAGACCTTAATAACTTACTAAGGACTGGCATGTAAGAATTGTTTCTCTGTGAAAGTAATGAAGTGGTATCTATGGGGATTCCGTTTCTTTAAAAGAAATTAGAGAAGTAAGACACTTACTGTAAACTGTATTTGGCAGCCTCCCATGATATAATCTAAGAAAGAATGCATCTTGTGGATCTGCAGACAAGAAAGCAAGATATTCAACTTAGCTGTGTACTGATAAAATATCAGAGAGCTGCTTGAAAAAACAATAAATTGGAAGGATGAGGGGGACCACCTGAAAAATAAGTTAAAGGAAGGAATCATTAGACACAGTTTGAGACAGAAACAAAAATAGAAGGAACAAGAGCAATTTTGTAGAAATGACAGAAGGACTAAAAGGGAAACACACAAAGTTGGCAAGTCTTTAGGGGTAAGAGTTTAGTACTGCCTTCTCCATTGTACAACAGTAGGGACAGGACAAGAGAAATAAAACAGGAGAGCTGGGGACAGTCAGCTTACTTTTGAGATTCAAGTCCTTGTTTTCACTTTTTGTAGAGGATCAGTTTCCATTGTTATCCTACAGGCATTTCCACTTTGTCTTCTTGTTTCCAACCACCATTAAAGTATATCATTGAGAGCTTAGCACAGAAACAGCCAGAGAGTAAAACATATATTTACCTTGCACTGGTTAAGGATGACAATGCCTGAGTTCTTGTAATTCTTCTTCTTTGCTTTGTACTTGGGGTTAATGCATTCCCATTGTACCTGTGAAAAACAGCAGTCACTCTTTGAAGGAAAATTTATGTACAAATGGAAATAATTAACAAAAATTGCACTGTCTGATTTCCACAGCTGACTAAATCATAACAAATAATGGTACACAGAGAGGAAGAAATGAAAACTATTAACTACGCAGAGAACGATCTTAATAGAAAAACGCCCAGGGCAAATATCAGTCTTTGCACATATACAGGTAGACATGGCACTGAAAAAGATACAGAGATTCATTTGTTGTCATCTTCCAGTCTTGTAGGTTCAGGTGTTACGTAAGCAAGATTGATGATCTTTTGAGATCATTAAAGAGGAGAAAAAAAGAGGAAACTTAACACTTAAGTGAAAATACTGGAGGGAGGAACCTAATGCATTGTATTAGCTACAAAACTGCAGGCACAGTAACACTGGGGTTTTGTATTAAACTCAAGACTGGAGAAATTCAGATCAGTGGTTTGTCTCGCTTTCTCTTGCAAGAGAGCAACAGTTTCTTCTGTAAGTCTGACAGCAAAATAAAAAGTTAAGAAAACCACTAAAAATTGCACAAAGATGCAGATAACTAATTACTGATACATTTGAAAATTATCCCTAAGAATATAATAAAATCCCTTTCTGAAAATTTTCTCATGGTTTTATTTACAAATAGTCAGTTTTACAGCAAAAGAATCCTACCTTGTTGCTGAAATACATTGTCTTGCTCTCATCATGACATCTCTTAGGTTCTTAATAATTTCCATTTCAAATGTTCTGCCTTCCTCTGGTTTCAGGTAGATTGACTAGGTTCAAGCTTTCAGACCCTCAACTCTAGTATCTACAATATTATTCATTTTTATCTGTAAAGTGTTTCTAAATATGGTTAATAGCATGACTTTTTTTCAGAGAGGTGTTTTTAAGCATGGGGAGAAAACGTGATGCTGGGTAACATAAAGAACAGAACTCCAAAAGGAACCAGGATGACCTATTATCTAAAAATCCCTATTATGACATTTTGAAATGAAACATATATATGTCTTAAGTGTTACAATGTTTTTCCTATAGTGAAAACCTTCTTAAGTGTTACAATACCTTGTCTATAATGAAGTTCACATGATATATCTTAGCAAAGTGTTTGAGCATGTAAAACTATTTTTACCTTATGAATAACCACAGCTATTTCACTGAGCTTCAAACCATTGCCTAACAGTAATTATTTGGATATCTCTGAAGTATTTCAGACTTAGAGATTTTGTCAAACATCAAAAAAAGGAAAGGCAAAATATATGGTTTTGGAGCAATATGAGACCATTTCTGCACAGGGGAGGAGGAATATTTTCGTCACTGTAAACTGGAGACAGGTGACAGAGTGAAGAATGGGAAAAGACAAAAAAACTGTTCCAACTGCAGGAAGCACATCTGCTTGCTCTCCCAGCTCAATTATTTGCTTTGTGAAACAAATTTTCCAACTGAGAAGACAGGCAGACACAGGGTCCCCATATTCAGGAAAAATCCTCCATAAATACTTTTCCTCTACTCAAGAGAAGCAGTCAGGCTTAAGAAATAAAAGCCCTTCTCTCCAAAGAAAGAGAGTACTCTGTGACACAGCACCCGAGTGCAATAAGCTCATATTTAGGACAGCAATATGACAGCAAGGCAGAAGCATTGCCCACTCACATCTTGATATGTTGCTGTCTGGCAAAATGGTTTAACACACATTTGTCTGCTGGAAGCATTCCTATAGAGAAATTGTGCTGTCTGTAAATTATAAATAAACTGTAATATATCAAATAGAAAATAAAAACAGGAGATGGGATTTGTGTTCCTCCCTTTGACACTGAAATACACTGGAGAGATCTCATTGCTTTCCCCTGAACATCCAAGGTGCACCTCCTTAATTTTAGCATCCTCCAACATGAATACTTGTTTAAACAAGACCTGACCTAAATGAAGCCATATACTATGCGCATAATTTCTCTCATTGGGAAAAGGATTATTTAAGCCTGAAAAACATTATGTTCATGTATGGGTATATGGACAAAGTTTACAATACCTAAGGACTAAACTGGCACAAAACATTATTTCAGGGGAGAAAAAATCTGTGCCTGTGTCCAACCTCTCAGGTTCCCTTTGCTAACTGTAAAATGCAATTATGAATGTTCCCCTATCTTGCAATGCATTTTGAGACATATGGATAACAATTCTGAGCAACTATCTAAAGCTCATTAAAATATTCTATGTGCAAGTCACTAACATCATTGACTGATAATAAAGCAAAGGGAAGAACAGATTGGAAAATTTCTAGAAAGTAAGAAAACAGAAAGAAAGAACAATTTTGCATCTATTAAATCTGTTGATGATCGTATAAAGAAGGGAAAATAATAGGAGAGGAGGGAGAAGACTGTATTACGTAAAACTCAATACTCACTTACCCACCAAGATCAATTCTGACCTTGGTAATTCCCACAGTTCAAGCTAAAGATGTCAGGAGCATCATTTGAAGGAAATTCCCTATACAGGTCTTATTATATCTCCAGCTTTTCTAATGAGAACAGAGTTCAGAATACAGCTCTAAGCAGGTAAGTAATATCGAGAAACAATTCTCAAATGTTTTGCTTGCACTGTGGGGCCAACCTCAATTTCCAGTCTGTTCCTACATTCCCAGTATTGATTTGGTATCTGACATTGTTTTTTATTGATTCATTTTTGCTCTTAAATTAAGTTTTCAGTTGAGAGGAAACTAATGCAAGAGTCTGCAATCTGACACTAATGGTAAACATTGTGAAGTTTGGATTCGTCATTCTAAAAGTCACTTAGCATTTCCTCCAAATGCCTGACAGCTCTAGGCTATGCAAGCTCTTTCCCTGTCAAACACAGTGAATCTGAAACAGAAAGCAACCTGGTTTTGACCTATTTCTTGTTAATTTAAGTAATGGTGCAAATGTTGGTAATGAAATCCCAAGACTATACTGTGTTGGTATTTCTTTTATACCCTGAAAGTTAAACCGCTATGGGGAGAATTTCTGAATATAAAACAAACTCCATTCAGCTATTCTTCAGAGTCAGTAAACTAATGCTGATACCTGGAAGGTTCTAATCCTCTTGTGTTTGTGATGACGAGACACAGATCCCTCAATGGGAGATGTTACTCTCTGCAGTGAAGGATGCTGCCTTTCTAAACATCCTTACTCCTTCTCTTACCAAATATTCCGAAGAGAAAGAAAAGCAAACAGTGCAAGCACCCATGCCACACACCAGCAAAGGGAAGTGGAGGTGACTAAATGAAGGCAAAAAAACCCCCCAAATTTGGCCACTATGTGTCCATCAATAGCACAAACTATTCAGAAAAAGAATTGAGAGTGTCAGGAGAATTTCATGTACCCTAAGGCAAGAAAAATGACAAAGAACAGTTGCTTTCTCTGGGACACTGTGCTGTGCTGCACACTTGGACACTGGGTAGTCAGACCTATGAGGAAAGGGCTAGAAAGCTGTGGTAAAGCTTGGGTTAGCATTGGCATGCTATCTTGCCTTCCCTGCAATTCTTTTGTTTCTCTCTTACTCCTTCCTGTATAGCTGCTACAAAAACTTGTATAGTTTGTAAATGACAAAGAAGGAACCACGGTTTAATGGACAGGGCAAAAAAACCCAATCGATGGGAGGCAGCATTATATCTCGTTTTGATGCCTCACGAAAAACAAGTCACTTTTTAGTGAACTGCATCACCTCCTGCCTGAAAGGCTAGTTCATTCCTGCCATCCCTCTAGGCAAGAGGAAAGGGTGGGTTTTCTTCCCTCTTTCTGTCCCAGAAATACATCCACCATGGGAGAAGAGCTGCTTTTAATCACTATCAGAGGTCTCCTCTGGAAACTTGTTATTGGTTGCCTCATCATAGGGATTTGGCAGGTGCCTGACATGGCTGCACCCTTCACTGAGGCCTCTGCTGCCCTGTCTGGGGCCATCAGCAGCTGCTGATATTGCAGACAGCCCTGGGTGAACTTGGCTGTCCCCTGATAAAACTAGGCATGGAATTGTCTGTTGGTGTCAATAAACTCCTTGACCCATTACCAAAGGCTTAAAGGTCTCACAGTTCTCTGAAGAGCTACCTGATGCAAAGGCCCTGAGTGAGGGTCATAGACAGTTACCTGGGCAAAGGGGGGAATCCAGTCCAGATCCCCTTGAGACACCATCCAATCTTGTGCACTTCAGCAGCTCTCCTCACCTCCCTAATAACACCCTGAACTTGTGGCAATGTCAGTGGATATGGTAAGTACAGCAAAGTTTCTTCCTCCTCTTTCCTTCTGTGTGTGTGCATATGCACACGCGTCCATTTTTTATGTAACGCAGGAACAGATTTTTCCCTTACATAACTCCCATGCTACATGGGAATCCAGGTGATTTCCCCCTTCCCCCCCGCACCCCCGGCCAAATCACTCTGGCTTTATTGCCTCCATTAAAAAAAAAATAAAAGGTGACCTTTTTTCTCACTAGTAGAGGATTTCTCCTTTCAACTATGATAAGCTTTAATAGTATTCACATTTTTATAATCTCAATCTTTTTCTCTTCTTGTTCAAATATTTTTGATAGATTAATATTAGAACACCTTATAAAACTGTCACTGTACACACATATTAAAATACATATATTATACATATATGTGGAAAAAATCCTAAGATACAATAAACTCAAAATATTTATTAGTATTTCATTACAAAATGTCACAGATAGGGATGGACTTACTCTTACTGGGCTTTCTTGTGTTAAGATTATGGTGAAGGAGTAAATAATGAATTTTGGAATGGTGGAAAGTGTTAACAGAATGTTTAGAAATCATAGAATCATCAGGGTTGGAAGAGACCAGCACCACTAAATTCACCACTAAACCCTCGTTTATGCAATGACTACTTCAGATGTGCCTTTCAACGAAAGGATGTCTTTGGCCAATTTTTATGGTAGTCAGTATGAAAATAGGCTAGGTGTCAGAATATAACTGTCTGTGACCAAAAGGTAATTTTTATGGAAGAGAAACACACACCAAGTTATTATCCTGAGCAGGTCCATGATCAGGAAGTCTTCTTAAAACAGTGTGAACGGATTTCATCTGTCCCACCAATGAAAGACCAGCCAGGTTTCCCAGAATTCAGGCCTTTCAGTCACAGAGAAGCAACTGACACTATGAAGGGCTCATAATTCAAGATTTGTGAATCTTATCCAAATCCTGCCATATTTAGAAAAGAAGTTCATAAACTACTTATGCCAGCCCTGATCAAAAGAAGCGATCAATCATCCAGATAAGGACACACAGTCCTTCCTGCTCCCAGCACACACTATGGTACTCCCACTCTTACTGCTTAACACATTTATGACAACTTGTGGTGCTGATACCAACCAATACAGAGGCTGCTGATGGGCAGAGAGGGAGAGCTGTGTCATTGGTGTAACCTCCTTTAACACTGCACAGATTTACAGCTGATGCTTAAGGAAAGTTCCTGGATCCCCTGTCAGTGATGAATGTTCTATTCTCTCCAGTTGCCTGGGAAAGTGAAAAACCCTAGTTGGCAATGACTAGGGTGTTTTGATTATCTTTTGATTATCTTTTAACAGAACTACAGCAAAGTACTCCAGCTGGCTGTAAAGTCTACTGCATAAAAGAAAATATAACCAGAAGAAGTTTCACTGTGTCTCCTTAGCAACTCAAACAGCGACATCTGGCCTGGGGTCTGCTCTTTACACTGGCTTCCACAGCATCTGAGATGAAATTTCACATTTTGGTCTTCATCTTTGACACTCACTGTTGTGATGCTATGTGAAAGAGTGCTTAATGCCGGGGGCTGAAGGATGTAGCTGGCAGTTTTATTCCTCTGACTGAAAGGAGTACTACCCGAAAAGCAATATTTTCTGATCTAAGGCTATGAAAAGGTCTCTTCTAGGACCAAAGAACTATGTCTAACCTACCAATTTCCTCACCCGTGTATAATTACATCTCCCTTATGTGGCCTTCCTTATCAGAAATACCTAGCAACACATCCACTTGAAGGCAAAAGACCTTCCTTCTCCTCTGTCATTCCCTCAATTTGCTTTATTCAAAGTAAATACTCCATTGCACATGCTTTTTCTTTATGGAGTCTAAAACTAAAGAAAAGTACTGACAAATGCTAATCACATTACTTAACGTTGCAGTAAGGTTGTTGACATAAACTATGTATGAAGATGTTTTTATGGGGTGCACAGATAATGGCATATATTGCCTTTAGCAGCAATAGTTCTTTCTGTAGAACAGAGAAAAATGAGATAGGATGAGGGAGGGACAGAGAGATAGAGAAAGGGACAGGGAAATTTTTTTCTGGATCCAGCCAAGTGACATGGCTTCCAACATGAATGACCTCTCCTGTAAAACACATGATCACTATATTTTTTCAGTAACATGTCATTTTCACCAGAATCTCCTCAAATTTCCTACTCCTAGTTCTTGCCTATCATGCTATTAGTGCTCATCAAAGTCTGCTTTCATCAAGTGCAAGAGCCATCTAGCATGGGCATGTATATTTTTGGGCCACTATTTATCAGCCACTTAAATGACTAATACTTACTATCTTATCCACTAAATCTTGGTTTCATCTAGAGTAGTCTATAAAACAAGGATTAGAAAAGAGAAGAAGGGAAACTGATGCTCACATTGGTGGCAATTGTGTCCCATGAGAACTAGCTATAACAACAGCATCAGGTTTTGCAGGTGCAAGAGCACAGAATAACTGCACAGTAACAACAGAATGAGAGGAACAAGGGAGAAATAATGGCACACCACCTTAGATGTGTGGAGGAAGACTGCAGTGTTGCAGGTGAAAGGCAACCTGCCAAATGGCAAATGGCAGGCCCTTAGCAAGACAAAGGTTCAAGAACTTAAAGCATAGTGTAACATTAAAACATTCCTGGGCAGCATTGCAGTGTCAACTTAGAACAAGAATTGACAAATGGCTGTATTAACTTCTTAGGCCTCTGAAAGAGTAATCATCCTTTTTGCTATATAGGGATGAAAAAACCACACTTTTTCCATCGTATTAAAGAATATATAGTTTATCCTTTGGAACCAGTGCCGGCACTCTGGACTACAAGTCTTTTGTCTTGGCCAACAAGTTGTCTCTTTGGGAAGGACCATTATGGTTTTTTGAAGACATTTACATTGAAAATACACACCCTTTACCACTCTCACACAGTCCCTTCCTCAGCCATCAGTATTTCTATACAAAATCAGAGTGTTGTCACATCACTGGCATTGTTAATGTTATTCATTCTGGGATTTGTTTACCTCTTTATCTCCATTCAAATTCTGTTTGGTTAAAGTTTTGATCCTCTGACTTAATTTGAGAGAGCAAAACAGGGTTTCATTTGCACTCAGGTTCTGTTCAGAAGTTATTTATAATGGAGTAATATATTACTGATATGTATCAGCAGTATTTAACACACGTGAGCAACATTTGCCAAACTTTAGTGTGTTTTAAGAACTTCAAAAGAAAACATCGAAAAGAATGTTTCTTGACATTTCTTCCCAATAAAAGTTTATTGACCTATGGCATAGCCTGACTGCTTAGCATTTATCAAACACCTTTTGACTCTGTGTTAGGTTTCTATTAACACATAAACAGAACCTTAATATAAAGCCCAAATAAAGCTTATTAGGCATTTGTGTCAGGTTTTGAGATCACTATGGAACAGTGAATACAAATTATCAGCAGATTCAATGTTTATAACTCCCCCTGAGAGAATTTATCAAAACTAACACCTTTAGAAGTAAGTAATAATAGAAAGTGACAGTTTCTGAAATTAGATATGCCAAATCATCTATCATATTCAATAATTACCATCAACTTCAGTTTCAAAAGATCAAGCTGACATAAAGAAGTGAAATTATTAATAAGTTAACAATTTCATTTTCCCTTAGGACTGTAAATCATGAAATATTTAGGAAACCAATTAGTTTCAACATGATGGGTTTAAGTTAAAGCTGGCAGAAATGAAGGCAGTACATGAGAAATGGAGAAAGATGGAGCATGGTCCTCATCCAGTAAAGGCCTTTGAGCCAGTAGAGAAATTCTTTGACTATCCAGACTGTTTTACCACAGCATCACAGCCCCTCATAGAAACAATATGCTTGGGCTCAAAGGAAATAAATCTTAGTGGAAAGAAATGCCTATAGAATGGGGACTAGAAAAAGACACTAAGTATTTCAGGTATGGAAATAAATACAGGAAAGACTGCTTTTTTGCATTTTCAGATTATCCAGGTAACAGTAAAACCTATGGGAGAGATCAATACAAAAATTAACTTTTGAGAGATGATTGAGGCAGTGTCTCCTGCATTATTACAGGACTGTCTGAGGAACACTGCTCTACAGAACTTACATATTGAGATTGCCTGAGTGGTTTCCACTTACCTGTCTTCCTTCCATAGCTCCTCGCATTTCCTTGAAAGTTGAGCTAAATTCTCCAATGAAGTCATGCTTTCCATTGGAATCCCAGTCCCAAACTATGCACTGGGAAAACAAATAGCAAAAGAACAAAAAAGGATGTTTTTCTTCAGACAGAAAAGAGGTTTTATTGAAAAATACTACAGGAGAAATTATGATATACACTGGGTGAAGTGTTTTATCTAAAGGGAAATCACAAGACATATTAAAACCATATTCTTGTCCTGATCAAAATAAAATGACAAGTGGAATCTCAACACAGATTGCTGTTCACAGTTATGTGTTATGGAGCTGGCCTAAGGAAAGTAAGGTCACATATTTCAGAAAGAAAGGATTTCTTGTCTAGATCTTTTTTGCTAGGTGTAAAAATACAGGATTATGTATATTTGCATGTTCATTGTCAAATGGTGTCCTGACTTACCTCATCGATGTACTTTACAAATATAAATTATTATAAAAAACCCTACTTGCTTTGGGCAAACAGTACTGTTCTCATTTTTACAGTCAGTGGAGGTGAGACAAGAGTTACAGAGATCATTTTCTGAAATGGTTTTGAAATTATACACATTAATGTTTGGTGCCCATATCTTGGCTGTTTTCCAGGGTTGCTCAACAGTGACTATACAAACCAAACATCACTGATACTCTCTCCTAAATTCATGCATAAAGATGAATATCTCAATGAGTTTGAGCTATGAGAATTTTATTTTACAGATTTTGCTAAATACAATTAACCTAGCAAAGACTGAAGCAAATAGCAATAACTACAGGCTTTGTTAAATTATAATTTTAAAACTGGTCCAAAGACAACAAAGGGGCTCAGAACAAAATCCCAAATTCAGCCTCATGTTCTCTCTAGATAAAGGTCACATAAGTTGCCTGAGTCAGGACGCCTTTACTGAAAACATCCTACTACAAAATCTCTCTTTTTTTTCTTTTTTTAATAGAAATGCCTCAAAGCCATCTGCACTGTCACATAAGGAGTGCACTGACATCTACCTATCAGATAGCTTTGAGGGTAACTTTGACTCCCTCGTGTGGGTCTGAGTCTTACAGATCTATGAGTGGGTGTGGGGTGAGAACCTGACTGACAGGAGTAGTAGAGGAGCTCCCTGCTGAGAAAGGCAGGAAATAAACAAAATTGGAGGTGGTGGGGCAGCAACAGTGGGATACCAGGCTTAAAACCAGTGGCTTTTACCAGACTGCTTTGTCTCAATGAGGCTCAGAGCTTTTGACCCAGCACTGATGGTCAGACAACACCAGAGGAAGAGCAAGATTTGCTCCTCAGACTCCTCAAGCCATTTGAAGTTTGCTTGGTCCAAAGGGGCCAGGGAAGGAAACTGAAATCATCAGATCTCAACTGGATTTTGAGTTTTAAACATTTCAAAAAAAGGAATTTATTGAAACAGACTTCTCTGTCCACCAGCTGTGCTTTCTAACTAGCCCAAATAATCCTGTCAAAGCTGGTATATGAGCACTATGGCCAATCCCTTTTGAGTGTAGGGGGAAAGACTCTGTAGAAAGCTTGAGACAGACAAAATGACTGAATTCTTTCAGTGAGAACAAATAGACAAAAAGTGTTTCAAGAGAAAGACCATCCAAAACAACCTAACATCCTCCCACCACAGCCATAAGTTAATAAATAGCCTCTTCCACATAAATGTTTGTCCATGTGAAGCCGTTGACTTAAGTATAGGTTGGAAGGTATTTGATCTCCACATCTAAGGCGATTACCTGAACTTATTACTCTGTTATGTGCCCAGACACCTTACTTATCTTTGTAGAAGTAAATAAGGTGGTGATTTCACTAAATTCACACCCACCATCCATGTTATTATTTAGGTTCCTTCTGTTTTGTAATGACTCTAGCTTTCCTTTGAACTTTCAACACTGTACCGTTTAGCCCCAGGAGGAGATTTTATTCTATACAAAGGGAAATTTTCTGATCCATACAGAAAATGTGTAGTAAGACTCTTTCCTTGTCTTAAGGAAAGAGTACCAGCATAACTCTTATTTCTGCAGACATTAATCAGCTGAAACAGTTCATGGGTCAGGCAAAGACCTGGCTCTTGAGCCCTCTGTTACTTTTCCATCCTGCCACCTGCAATTTTACTTGCTTTTTTCTTTATGGAGGGATCTCACACTAAAGAAAGTCTCTGGATTGAAATGTGAAAATATTCTGCTCTAAGACTTGGAGGTACTTTTTAGCAGCTTTGACATTGAAGGGGTGGGTGGAGGGTAAAGGGAAAACAGGAGCAGTTCTCATGCATGTTTACTTATAGACTAAATTTTACAGAAGAGTAATAAAATAAGAGTGGGTTTCTGGTTCTGATAGTGGTAATGCTTCCTGGAAAAAAACTAGACAGTAGTTTCAATGCTAACGGCCTTGGAGTATTCTTTATGATGAAATCTTCACTAATAATCCCTCTAGGCTTATTATCATCTGCAATTTTTAGATGAGCTAGTAACAACAAAAAAAAAAAATCCAAGAAAAAGTAATTTATTTATGAAAAAATCCCTGAAACTGTTTTTGTTTCACAGAGGTTGAAGCAGCTGCATTTTATTTTTCCGTGAAATTTCTTGCTAATATAAACTGGTCATCTTTTATTGAAATTACTTATAAATATTTCATGGAAAAATGGATTTCACAGATGAAGCATGACTTAAAATGACTTTTTTTTCTGTAACGGTTGCAAGAATTATTTAAGACCTAAAAGTAATACTAAGTAAAAAGATTTGTCAAAATGTCACAGTAAAATTGTTATAAATTTGCAAAAATTATAGTTTTAGTAATGCTTGCAACTTTTGAAAAAATGTTTTTGAAAAAACAGCTATTTCACAAACAAAAAAAAGAGAACCCTTATTATGAAATTTTCCAACCAGATTTACTTTTCAGGTTTGGTCTTTAAATTCAACTGGAGCATAAATACAAGAGCAGACTCAAGGTTATCAGAGACCTCCAGGAAAAGGAGGTACTTTGAAAATTTTCTATTAGAAACCCAACTCTTACGAAGAGGGAAAAGCTCTGAGTGCTCATTTGTGGTTAGAATTTTAAGTGGAGATGAGCAAAGTTAAATTACATATAAAATGTCCACTCAACAGGGATCCAACTGCTTTCTCTTTCAAGCTAGAGGTTTTCTAACTTTAGTTTTCAGAAAGCCAGATGGTACTCTAATCTTCATATTGGCTTCATGGAAAAGGCTAACAATTACAGTATTATCTTAGTGACATTTGCTCAATTACAGCTAAGGAAGAAAAGGGATTTCTGCAAGTACATCCATTACGACTTCTTTTTTTTTCCCAGAGTTTCACATCTGGCCATAGAAATTAACTATTACTGTCTGAAAAACATTAGGTACACAGTAATGATTCTGCTTTTCAAAGGTATATCAAAAGTATTTCTAAAACATAAATACTGGGGTCTAGACATTTTTATAAAACCACACTCAGACAGACAAAATAGGCAGGGAAGGATCTTTGCAAATAATCCAGAATCAGGTAGAGACCAGAGGTGATAACCAAAGTATTACTTCCCTATGAAATACTTTAAAGTGGTTTTGTCTGTTTGGTTGGTTTTGTCTTTTTTTTTTGGTTGGTTTTTTTTTTGGAAGGCCCCATTTACTCTTTAAATCAAATCCTCCATAATGTAAACCATCCTTTATCTTTAAGCAAACCTTAATGTGTTCTTTAGGTCTGTACTCTTAGAGGTTGCTTAAGCAGATGATTAACAGTATACCTACACTCTATTAAAAGTCTCATTAATTTAAGGAGGCTTTCCATACATTTAATTTTAAATACTGGTAAATCAGTGTTCAGATAACTGGTGAAAGAATTCAGACTCCTACTTATTGGTTACGAGCTCAAATACAGGCAATAAAAACTGCTACTAATGCTGCACGGTGATGGAATAGCACTGACTGGAACGATGAAGAACATCTTTCACCCCTGCATGATTCTACCTTCCCCCCCAAAATTCCTGCTGACTGCAGGGAGAGGGAGTACTCCTTCAGGCCCTCTCAAGGAAAGGTGCTATGCCTGACAGAGCCAACCAGCAGATCCAGTTAAGATGTCATCAGAGGATCACTTCTGAGTATCCACATCACCATTTCTTCAGCTTTTCTTGTTAACACCACAAAATGAAAGATTTCCTTTCCTGGCTGAAAGCAAACCTTTCACTGGAAAAAGGAGGGAGAAAGGTCCATTTTAAAAACAAAAAGATATTTCAGGTGGATGCAGGTGCAAATTTTCCCTGATTTTATTTCAATTTTTTCACCAAGATTAGATTTTGCCAGTACTCTCACTACAAAGGGCATCCAAGAAAAATTGCAGAGGCACTAGAGCTATAACAGCACAGGCCTCTCGGCTGATTTTCATAATGCTTCCCAGAAGATGACAGATAGATTAATCTTGCTACCTATGAGTGAGCAAAAAACTCACTTGCGCAATTTCTGATTTTAGTTATATTTCACAAAAATATAACCTGAACCATACTCCAGTTCCAGCCAATCCTGATTGATCATCTGTTCAGTGATGTGATGATGCCAAGATAAGAAATAAACCAATTTCTCTATCCAGTATCTCCCATGGACTGAGGCAGTTTTCCTGTTTTATAATTCAACAGCAAAAAAAGTATTGCTACCTATCATATGATCCAAACTCAACTATAATTTTTTCAAATTTTTATTTCTGTGAGAAATTAAAAGACGTAGAGACTAGAAATTGGTGTGCCAAGTCTCAGTATAAGAGCCAGCAAAATTCTAGCACAGTTGTCATAAAATAATTTTTCCCATAGTCACCATCCTATTTAGCTTTAACCACCAAGAGAACTAAGTAATATAAAAGACTGGCTACTTTAAGTATGCATTTTTGTATGGGTGTCTGCAGGTTATTTTCCCTATATACCTTCAGAGAAATACTTCAAGTGATTTGTCCCTATTAGGTTTTCACGATGAGAGAACTATTCCGTGCAGCACCTTTGGGCATAGCTAATAGCGAAACTTGGAACTTAACCTTGCAATTTATGAGCCAGCCCAAAACATGCTCTGAAGGTTAGTTTTTAAAAGACA